TTAGTAGAGATGGGGTTTCACCATGTTGACCAGGATGGTCTCGATCTCTTGACCTCGTGATCCACCTGCCTCGGCCTCCCAAAGTGCTGGGATTACAGGCTTGAGCCACCGCGCCTGGCCTGCCATCTTTATATTTTAATCCTCTCTGAAATTCAGAGAGAACATGACTCACCCAGGACACCTCACAAGATAGAGAGTGGAACTTTGCTTTGAACCCAGATCTGTTTAACCTCAAAGCCAAGTTACCTGCCCACTTGCCTGTCTTGATTTCTGTAACCAAGGCTTTTACATGATTCTATAAGCATTTTGTTTTGAAGAAGCACAACTGGGATGTCAGCAACAGGGTAAAAAGACTATGGACACTACCCACTTCAGTGTCTCCTGTGCAGCTGGGAGCAAGCGGGGCTTTTAAGCAGTGTAGACCTCTGGGATATAGATGTTCTGTGGCTTCACAGAATCCTAAGCAGTCAGGTTCCACTACCACAAATAAAATCAAAATAAGAATCAAAGCTGACATTTTTAGAACATCTGTTATAGGCCTACACAGATTGGACTTGTTTTTTGTGTTTTTTTTAATTACTTTGTTATCTTTTTTAGAGACAGGGTCTTGCTATGTTGCCCAGGCTGGTCTCGAATTCCTGGCCTTAATTGATCCTCCCACCTCAGCCTCCTGAGTAGCTGGGATTACAGGCATGTACCACTACACTTGGCTGAGATCGTTTATTGCACTAAAACATTTGTATATATATCTTCTCTTCAATTTTCAAAGCAACCTTACAGCACAGGCTCTATCTTATTATCTCCATGTTAGAGAGAAGAAAGGTAAGACCAAGATATTTCATGACTTTTCTAGGTAGTGAGGCAGAATTTGAACCCTGGACAGTCTGGCTTCAAGTTCATGATCTTTCTGCACTCTGAGCCAGCCTTATTGGCAAAGCATGCCCTGGGCATTGTGGTGTGGATGGAAACTGGGCACATTGCATCCATTCCTCCCTAGACTAACTTGCCTGGCCTGTGGACCTTCTCAGCCAGGCCAGGTGAAGTATGGCAGTGTCCAGCTCTGCCCCTCTGCCAATGCTGTGTGAATAGTAGAACTCTTTGTAGAAATGACAGAAATCTGATAGAAATCAGAGGAAGCAAAAAGGAAATGTATCGGCTTATTTAACTCCAAAGTCCTGAGATAGCTAGCTTCAGGCACAGCTGGATCCAGGGACTCAGGTGCTGTTACATAGACTTAGTCTCTCTCCATTACTTCACCCTGCTTGCTGGTATGCTAACCTGGTAGTATGTAAGCCCTGAATTGCTGGGAGTTGCCTTGCCACTTTGACAGAAAAGTCTACTGGAGAGTAAAGCATATGATGGAGCCCCTGCCAGGCCTTACCATACCATTTCATTATCAAAGTGCTGGAGAACAGCAGCTACAAAATTGTCTCAAAGCCAATCTTGATATATCATTCATGTATATGTGGGTCCTCTGTACCCTCACGTTCTGCATCTGTAGATTCAACCAACCAAGGATCAAAAGTATCCAGGAAAAAAATTAAAAATAATACAAATGCTTAATATAGTATAACAACTATTTACATAGCATTTACATTGTATTAGGTATTGTAAGTAATGTAGAGATGATTTTAAGTATACAGGAGGATGCACATAGGTTGTATGTAAACACTATGCAATTTTATATAAAGATTTGAGCATCCATGGATTTTGGCGTCTGTGGGAGGTCCTGCAAGGGTCAAGTGTATGAGAATTCCTCCTGGAACATTTGGCTAGGGATTAAGCAAATCTAGATATGTTTCTCTATATGGAATTTTTGCTGCACTTCATGGTGAATCTTGTCCCCAGCCGTGTTCTAACAAAGAATTGGGCCATATTGTCTGCAGGTAAGATTGAACTGAGATCCCAGAGGCCTCTGGTCTCAACAAGTATTGGCCAGGTTTATGATTTGCAATTTTAGGTGCATCATACCCTACCTGGGCGTCTGTCCAACCAGGTTAACAGCTCCTATCTTCCCCACCCGTTAGGGATGGGGTAGCCAGGACATGAGAGCTGATGGTATGCTGCAGAGGCCAAGTCCTAAAGGATGATGTCATGATTGTTGTTAGATATTTGCAGCAATGTTCATTGTTATACTGTGAATCTTATTTTGGCCCAATGATAATAATACCAAAGGTCTATTTAACACCTGACAATGTATAAAGGGCTCTTATTGCTGTGTTCTCATTTGGCCCTCATAACCCACCCTATAGGTATCATATCATCTCTGCCTTATCGATGAGGATACTGAGTCTTAGAGAAGTTAAGCAATAAGGCTGCCAGCTCTTTCACTGTTATTAAGTGCCTGCGTATACCAGTCTGTGCTAGAAGCTTATGACACCAAAATGATTTCTTGAGAAATGGTCCCTTCCATGAGGAAGGCCAGAGCAAACCAAGACTCCAACTCCAGGCCTCTAACCCCAAATCCACAGTTGTTCACACAGGGCCACTACCTCTCTCTGAGTTGAGAATACATGGTCAGTAGTTGTAGTCTTAATGGTCTGGAACTACCAGTGACTCAGTATTTGCTCTGTGCCAGACACCCTTCACAACCATTCTGAGAAATGAATTTTTCTTATCTTTAAGGCCTAGGGAGTTGGCCCAATGTTACATACCTAATAAGTGGTGACACCAGGTCATAACAACAGTAGCAAGGACTTACTATGTGCCAAGTACTGTGCTTTGCAGGTTATAGATTATATCATAAAACCTTCAACCAAAACAGCATAAGGAAAGAGCTTTTGTTATTCCCTTCAGAAGGATGAGCAATTGCCCAAGGCCACACAGCCAGTGGTAAGAGGTTATTGCCTGGTGCTGAATCCACACCTCTATTGTACCAGGAATAGGACAAGGACATTGCCTTGTTCATGTCTGTACCCCATCCCTGCAGAGCCTACTTCATTGTTGGCACATGGTAGGCACCCACATGTGTTTGTTTAGATAAAAATAGGTTCCTCAAAATGACATGCTGATCAAAGGAAGACAGTAACTGTCAAAGACTGCTCTGAGATGTCTTGTTTCTTCACGGCCTCTCCTGTTCCTGCAGTGTTATTAGGCACACCAATCACGCTTGCTTTCTCGGCCCCCAGGATCGCCAACCTGAAGATCCAGCTGGCCAAGCTTGACAGTGAGGCCTGGCCTGGGGTGCTGGACTCAGAAAGGGATCGACTGATCCTCATCAACGAGAAGGAGGAGCTGCTGAAGGAGATGCGCTTCATCAGCCCCCGCAAGTGGACCCAGGGGGAGGTGGAGCAGCTGGAGATGGCCCGGAAGCGGCTGGAGAAGGACCTGCAGGCAGCCCGGGACACCCAGAGCAAGGCGCTGACGGAGAGGTGGGGCTGGGGCCCCAGGGTGTATAGGACCCTTCTCTCACTGGCAGTCTATCCTCCAGCCCCCAGATAGGGAAAGGATGAGGGGGTTCCAGGGTGCCAGGGCTCCACCCTGAGCACGCTCAGTTCAGAGATCTCTCAGCTTGCCGACATAGAAAATCAGCAAAGATGATTCACCATCCAGTGCACCAGCCACCCTGGTACTTTGCATGGTGAATCATGCTACCAAAGAGTCTGCTTAGGTGATTGTGTTCAAAAGCATATCTTCTGACTCAACTAAGCCACATAACTCTATATAATTTAGAGCAGTCATTTTCTAACTTTTTGACAGTGATGCACATTTTATACTGTGACCTGATACAAGTTTCACAAAATAGTGCATGCTTTTTTTTTTTTTTTTAAGACAGTGTTTTGCCATGTTGGACAGGCTGGTTTCGAACTCCTGACCTCAAGTGATCCATCCGCCTCGGCCTCCCAAAGTGCTGGGATTACAGGCATGAGCCACCGTGCCCAGCTGAGTGCATGCTTTTTCTACCTGTGATGGTCCTCGGATGTTTTCTCTCTTCTGTTGCATTTCTTTTCATGCAGGTCATGACTCACCAAATTGATTTCACCACATGCTAAGTAAGGGGTTGCAGTTTGCAGTTTGAAAAACACTGGTGTGGATGGGGGTTGCAAACTGGCATGCTTATGGGAGCGAAGCAGGTCACAGAAATGCTAGAGACCCATCTGGCAGTGGTCTGTGTCAGACCGGAGTGCACAGACCCCACTTGTCTAAAGCAGGTGCTGTCTCTCTGCTCCAGCTAATGGGAGTGCAGGCCTTGGGCTGCCAGGGCTGCCGGTACTTCAAACAAAAGAATCGTTTGGATTTTTTATTTTTAAATATTGGGAACTAAATCCAAAATTTAAAAAATATATATGCAAATCAGCTTCATCTATGGGCTTGATGTAACCTAAAAGCCACTGCTTCATTTCTCTAATTTAGACCTTATTACAGACATTGTCTTTGTTTATTTCCTTCAGTGTTCCCACCAGCCTCCTCACCCACATTGCACAGAATGCAACACTGTTCACTGTAGGCTTTACCCTCTCCAGCTTCACGTTCATTCATTCATTCTGTTCATCAGCCAATGTTTACTCATTCATTCGAGAAACCTTTTGCTGCACAGACTGTGTGTGCAGGGCAGTTTGGGGGATTCAGAAATTAACAAGACATGGTCCCTGCCCCATGACCTTTAAATCTACTCTAGTTATTTTCACCATTTTTTGGCAGGAGGCTTTATTCAGCGAGGTTCCTGCCTCTAAGGAGCTTAGAAGTGAAGCTAGTGATTTTCAAGAGTGAGTGAGTGAGTGTGTGTGTGTGTGTGTGTGTGTGTGTGTGGTGTGGTGTTTGAGGCCAGCAAGGGAATTCCTTTTGCTAGTAAAATCAGAGGCCGAAGCCCAGTTTATGAAGCCAGTAAACATGCCTATTGCCTCAGTTGAAGCAGTCTGGGCGTCCTAGAGATGCCTGTATATGCTCACTCTGTCACCCCCTCATGGGTCTTTCAGGGGACCTTCGAGCTCTAAGGCACTCTCCTTGCAGTACCATCCTAGCAACTGAGTAAGCCCCACTTGCACATGGCATGGTGCCAGGTGGGTCAGGTTGACCAAGCCCTTGCCTAGCCTCTCATGGCTTCAGAAACTCCCTTGACTCACCGATGCTGGGAATCTCTCCCCGCTAGTTGCTTAGTCAGAACTGCTAGCAGTGATGTCCAAAGTATATCCATTTCCTCTCTCCCATTCTTCACTGGCAGGAGCAGCTGATTAGCCCTGACCCACCACCAGTTGGTGGGAGAAGGAGAAGGACAGAGCTTGAATAATTGTGTTCTGCAACCCTTGCAAGCACTTGGCTGGGTTTCTTTAGCACCATGGCTCCACTCTGCTTTCTCTGGGATTTGGGGATAAGGCCTGTGTCTATATGCCCTCATGCCTTTCGTGTTTGTTGAAAGAATAAATGGTTAGCTGACTGGGCAGACCCTTACTGGACCTCTGTGTCTCCCTCAGTCCCTCACTTGCTCCTAGACCCTATAACTGGCACTGGGAAGCCCTTAGCTATTCATCATCCCCACAGCCAGCAGCTGAAGAGAACAGACTCATGGCAGCCTCACTCCTTGTTGGGTCCAAAGCAACACCCTTCTCACCTGCTGACCTTGAGCAAGTCATTGACCAATATGGGTTTCACATGCCTAATAGAGAAAAAATGGGATACTTTAAGTCCTCACATAATATTTGTTAACAGGTTTTTGGAAAACTGTGACTTGAAGCAAAAGTACATACAATGAAACCAATTTTTTTCCATCAACTTTATGTTTTATTTTTATTTTTTCAAGATGGAGTCTTGCCCTGTCGCCCAGGCTGGGGTGCAGTGGTGTGATCCCGGCTCACTGCAACCTCCACATTCCGAGTTAAAGGGATTCACCTGCCTCAGCCTCTGAGTAGCTGGGATTACAAGTGTGCGCCACCACACCCGCCTAATTTTTGTTTTTTAGTAGAAACGGGGTTTTACCATGTTGGCCAGGCTGGTCTGAAACTCCTGACCTCAGGTGACCCACCCTCCTTGGTCTCCCAAAGTGCTGGGATTACAGGCATGAGCCACTGCTCCCAGCTCCATCAACTTTATTTAAAAAAAAAAAAAAAAAAAAAATTGAGAACTTGGTATACATCATTTTGCTTAAAGTTGCAGTTGGCAAGAACCTAGCTACAATGTTAATTGAGGATTTGCTGTAGTTACATTAACTACATATATGGTACGAAGGCAGGCAATTAGACCAGGCTGTGAATTGAGGCTCTTCCCTTCTGTACAACTGTTGGTTTCTTGAAACTCAAATTGGAGGCTCTTAGGGACCCCTAAGATATACCACATGTAAAAGCTCCTATCCCGTGCCACACTGTAGCCTATGTAATCTCATTTAAACCTCCCAGGAACCCTGAGGTTAATCCACATTTTACAAATGAGGAAACTGAGGCTCACCAACATCCCTAAGTGGCAGAGCTGGGATTAGAAGACCCCAGGTTTGCTAGCCCCAGAGGCTGTGCTCACTTTAGGGTGCTGCCCATGCAGAAGACCTTCTATTACTGCCTTCAACCCCATCTTTCAAAGGCCTGCTGGCTCCGCCGGAGCAGTGAGTTCACACAGCTAGTACAGGGAGGCCAGAACCTCCACTCGTCTGCAGCTGCCGAGTGGGCAGCTCAAAGGGCCTGGTAGGAGGGTGCTTGGACCAAATGCAATGGTAGCGAAGCTGGAGGGCATATAGGCAGGCAGCCATGTGTGCCCTAAGAGGAGTCTAAGGAAGGAGCCCACGGGAATGGGGTACCACGCTCGTGGCTGTGAGCCTCCCGCAGTGGGAAGACAGGAAAGCCATCCCAGCTGTCTTTGTGTCTGCAGCTGTTTCCTTCCAGCTCCGTGTCTGTCTGTCTATTCATCCTTCTGACTCTAGCGTTCTGTTTCCCTTCTCTGTTTTTCATGGTGTGTGTCTTTATTTTTAGTGTCTCTGTTTCTCTCTGTCTCCCCTCGCTCCTCTTTCTCTATTCTCTCTCTCTCAAAATGGGATTATTATGCTCTTCACCTTCACACAACAGCCTCACATTCAAGGTGCCTTTGAGGACAGGAATAGACACATCCAGGAGAGGCTGACTATAGGACCTGCCAAACCCCACTCACAAATCAGTCAGACTTGCCGGCATCCGAACAAGCCTCATCCTACCCTCTGCCTCTCCCTCCTTCCTGAGGTCCTTCCCCACCACTCCCCAGAGCAGGTGTGCAGTCATGCAGGATGCTCGTTAGTGCACGGGCTTCCTGGACCCACCCGAGGGACTGATCCTTCATCCCTGAGATGCAGCCCAGGTTCTTACACATTTTTAAGCAGCACACGAGGTGCTGAGCTACAGCTTGTGGGGACTCCAGCCCCACCTTTTGGATCCTCTACCTGCCTCCACGCTTGATGTGTTCTTGGCCTCCCAGTGTGTGCCAGGCATCACACACGCGTGCCATCTATCCTGCAAAGCTCAATGCCACTGGGAGGTGGCCTTGGCACCTGTGTGTTGCTAGCAGCAGCTAGCCCCCAGTGCCAGGATGTCATGACAGCCTATCTCCCAGACTCCTCATCGTCCTGTTGAGGCTTCACTGGGGACCCACATCTCCTCCCAGAACACACCTCTCTGGCTTTTCTCCCACAAAGAAGAGGAAAGCCAAGGAAAAAATGGTGAGCCCCAGCTGCTCCTTGATCCTGGACCTCAACTGTTCCTGAGCTTTCCTTTTATACAGAGTCAAGAGATTCCACAGCCTTGTCCATTCTGTTGAAAGTCAAGGCTTGTGTTCATTACAGGTTCCATCTGCCAGCCTACTGCACACCCCCACCCCAGCCTCAGGCACTAGAACAGTGCCAGGGATTGAGCTGACCAGGAACCACGCCAAGGTCACTCTGCCTGCTGCTCCTGTTGTCTTTTCTGTAATTTCACAAATTCAGTTGCCCAGTAATGAGCCTAACCCATCCCACAACACTTTTCAGTTGTGTCTAGAGCAAACTCTGGTCTTTACTGCAGGGCATGTGCTGGGGTTTGGGTGTGTGGGTAGAGGGATGGTATGACTTGACTTTTCCATGAAAATGAGCCCTTTCTCCCAGGCCCCAGACTGGGTTAGCTGTATCTTGGGTCCACTCCCCAGTCCAGGGACCAACTAGTCAGCCATTCCCTCTTTAGCAGGCGGACATGAGGGGATGGGGGCCAACAGTGGAACACATCTGTCTATGGAAGGTATAACATGCACGTCTTTCAGCAGAGTTCATAAACTCTTCCAGCTTCATCTGGAGCAAAAGTCATCCATTCAGCAAATACTGCGCATGTCTACATGGTAGGCATTGTGTTGGGTGCTAGGTGCTGGGTGAGCAAGATACAGCCTCTGCCTCTCTGCCGTCCCCCATCAGCGCAGCAGCTTGTAAACCTTGGTGTGCCTTAATGAAAAGGCAGATTTCTGGGCCCTGCTGCTGGGCTTTTTGATTCAGCAGGTCAAAGTAGGGTCCAGGAATATGTGTTTCAATAAGCACTCCTCCCTTTCTGATGCAGGTGGTCTGTAGGCCACAAGCTGATAATGACTAGCCTAGTAGACATGGGAGCAGACCAGGTCGTGAGTTTGTGAGGGCACAGTCTTGCTTGACGGGGCCCTTTATTTTGTAGTGGGCCCACTCCAGAGGTTGGAGAGCCATTCCAGGGGCAAAGACATACGCTGGAGCCCACCCAAGCTGCCCTCCAGGCGGGCTTTCAGGAGAGATCAGGCTGAGATATGGTCCTAAAGCCGGAAGTCTCTTCCAAACACAAGGATTTTGTGTCCGGGGAGATAGTTTGCTGAATTGAGCTTTGGTGTCGGGCATGCCTGGGTGAAAATCTTTGCTTCCAGTCCTGTGGCATTCCATCATGTCCACTAGCTTCTCCTGACTCTCTGGTCCCATTCTCTCCAGCACCCTTGCTAACTGTTGCTGGTCCACCCAACCTCGGAATGTTGTGTGTACTCAGAGCTTGGTCCTCGGCCTTCCCTTGTTTTCCCTTCTGTATTTTACCCTAAGATGATGCATGAGTCTATAAAGGCTGCCGTAACCACATACCACAGATTGACTGGGTGACTTAAACAGTGGACATTTATGTTCTCACAGTCTGGAAGCTAGAAGTCCAAGATTAGACGTCAGCAGGGTTGCTTTCTTCTGCGGTCTCTTCCCTCGGCTTGTAAATTGCCTCCTCCTCCCTCTGTTTCACATGGCCTTCCCCCTGTGCCTGTGTCCTAATCTCCACTTGTAAGGACAGCAGTCATACTGGATTAGAGTCTGCCCTACTGACCTCATTTTACCTTAATTACTTCTTAAAAGCCCTATCTCCAAACACAATCACATTGGGAGGTACTGGGGCTTAGAACTTCAATGTAGGATTTCAGGGGGACAAAAATCAACCCAGAACAGATGGTAATCTCATTGAGGTGCTGATCCATCTGATGGGGATTTCCCCCCAGCCACCCACCGCCGACCTTTATAGCAGCCTGTGTGTTCAGCATTCATACCCACATATCCACAAGAGAGCTCTTCTCTTCCCCCAGGTTCCCCTGCCTCCGCCCTCTCCTCTCAGCAGATGCCATCTGCAGGTCCACTTGGCTGCCCACTGCAGTAGCCACACAGTCTTCTCATTTACTTTACTCCCTCAGCCTCACCCACTCTGGCAGCCCAGGCACCGTTTCTGTCTCTGCATTTCTCAGGCCTCCACCATCTCAGTGACACCTCACAGCCACCCTCCCTGCCTTCAGTCTTCAGCCTCCTGCCCGTTGTCCTCATCACAGTCATGGTGACATCAAAAGGAAGAAGTTTCTGCTAAAGCCCCTACTTGGAATGTTCTTCCCTCCTGCACTTTTCCTAAGTAACACCTGTCCAGGATCCATCCTTAAATTCCTTTACTAGTCAGGAATCTAACTGCTGCAAGAAACAGCCCCCAGAGCCTCTGTGGCTTCACACAACAGAGGTTTATTTCTTGCTCATATAATGTCTAATTGGGTATGTCCAGTTAACAGGCAGCCTTCCACGTGGTTGTTCAGGAACCCAGGCTCTTTCCACATGTGGCGCCTCCCCTTTGAGTCCACAAGAGTCCATGCATGAGACAGTGAAGAAGACACACTCACTTTTCTTAACTACTTGTGCTCACATCCCATTGGCCAGAACTTGGTCATATGCACTGCCCCCCCAGCCGCAGGGAAGGCTGGGAAAATGGTCTGGGGACAGAGCCGGGTGCACACTGCCAGTCTCAGCCACAGAGTCGCTTGACTGGAAGAGGCCTGCCTGCCAATGTAAATTGGGGCTCTCCTTTTGTGTTCTTTTCTACCATTGTGTACTTTTTTCTCATGGACCTTGTCACACACTCTGTTAACTGGATATTTGAATATTTCTTTAATATCGGTTCTCCCCAGTAGAGTGTAAGCCCCATAAGAGCAGAAACATGCTGGGCACGGTGGCTCACGGCTGCACTCCCAGCATTTTGGGAGGCGGAGGCAGGCAGATTGCCTGAGGTCGGGAGTTCAAGATCAACCTGGCCAACATGGTGAAAGCCCATCTCTACTAAAGATATAAAAGCCGGGCGCGGTGGCTCACGCCTGTAATCCCAGCACTTTGGGAGGCCGAGGCGGGTGGATCACGAGGTCAACAGATCGAGACCATCCTGGTCAACATGGTGAAACCCCGTCTCTACTAAAACTACAAAAAATGAGCTGGGCATGGTGGTGCATGCCTGTAATCCCAGCTACTCAGGAGGCTGAGGCAGGAGAATTGCCTGAACCCAGGAGGCGGAGGTTGCGGTGAGCCAAGATCGCACCATTGCACTTCAGCCTGGGTAACAAGAGCGAAGCTCTGTCTCAAAAAAAAAAAAAAAAAAAAGATATAAAAAATTAGCTGGGTGTGGTAGCACGTGCCTGTAATTCCAACTACTTGGGAGGCTGAAGCAGAAGAATCACTTGAACCTGGAAGGTGAAGGTTGCAATGAGCTGAGACGATACCATTGCACTCTGGCCTGGGCGACAGGGCAAGACTGTCTCAAAAGAAAAAAAAAGCAGAAAGAAGGACTACTGTGCTCACTCACTGTTTTGTCCCAAGTGCAGTGCATGGGCAGGGTCCAGTACAACATGGGCACTCAATAAATATGAGCTGAAAAAGAGAGGAAGGGAAAGAAGAGGAAGGAAGAAGAGAAGCGTATGGTTGGGTGAAATCCTACTTCTGCCTCTAATTCCAGAGCTTTAAGCAAATTATGCAACTCTAGTAAGGGCCTCGATTTTCTCCTAAGTGGTAAAAATCATTCTTTCTATGCAGCATTATCATGCAACTGAATTAAGGCAGTGTCCTAATGTTCCTGGCACAGTGCTTGGTACCTGTATAAACACACACATATATATATAGTGGGTGAGCGATATTGCAACTTTCATAGGATTATAATGCATGTGGAGGCTCTAGCTCCCCAGACGCCGTGGTAAAATGCTTGCCGAAAGTTCTTGTGCCTGTGGGTCTGGGTGTACATGGATAAGCGTGCATGCCCTGTGCTTCCCTTCTGGGCATCCCACTCATGCTTTCTCTCCCTGTCTCCCTCCAGGTTAAAGTTAAACAGTAAGAGGAACCAGCTGGTGAGAGAACTGGAGGAAGCCACTCGACAGGTGGCAAGTCTGCACTCCCAGCTGAAAAGGTGAGTGGTGGGCGGTGGGGCCGTGGCTTCCCTGCACATGGCCAGACATGTGTGTCCTCAGAGTCACAGCCCAGGCTCTACCCTTCACTGGTCCTTGTGGCTTGAGTGTGGGTGTTTAGAAGCACAGCAAGTGGATGTCAGCAGACCTGAGCGTGGCCTGGTGTGGCTAGGAATAGGGGCCTTGACCTCTCCAGACTGATAGCACAAAGAAGGCCCCGGGCAGGTACTAGGAAGTCTTAGAAGTCATGGCTCACACCTGTAATCCCAGCACTTGGGGAAGCCAAGGTGGGTAGATCCCTCGAGCTCAGGAGTTTGAAACCAGCCTAGGCAACACGGTGAAACACCATCTCAACTAAAAATACAAAATTGGCCAGGTGTGGTGGTGCATGCCTGTGATCCCAGCTACTCTGGAGGCTGAGGTGGAAAGATGACTTGAGCCTGGGAGGCAGAGGCTTACTGTGAGCCGAGATCATGCTACTGCTCTCTAGCCTGGGTGATAGAGCCAGACCTTGTCTCCAAAAAAAAAAAAAAAAAAAGGAAACCCATACCTGCCACTTGCCTGTACCACACAGAGAAAGTAGCCTCAGGCCTGGGCCTCCATGGACAGCAGTGCATCACTGGAATTTAGTGACAACGTTTTGTTTCATTAGATTTTTTTTCTAATGGTGTCCTATTTGTAGTAAGTGATACTGCTTTTCAAATTACATTTAGGATGTCAAGTTTTCTTTTAAGATAGATGTTTTAAAGTATGAAACTAAGTTGGTCCGGGTGCAGTGGCTCATGCCTGTTATCCTAGCAGTTTGGGAGGCTGAGGCAGGCAGATTGCCTGAGCTCAGGAGTTTGAGACCAGCCTGGGCAACACGGTGAAACCCCATCGCAACTAAAATACAAAAAATTAGCCAGGCATGGCTACTTCGGAGGCTGAGGCAGGATAATCGCTTGAACCCAGGAGGTGGAGGTTGCAATGAGCCGAGATCATATCACATCACTGTACTCCAGGCTGGGGAACAGAGCAAGACTCCGTCTCAAACACACACACACACACACACACACACACACACACACACACACACGAGTTGATTTCAAGAAAGATATTAAGAAGTCTTTGTTTCATGATGGTTTCAACTATGAAAAAATATCATACAATGTAATGTAGCCAATTGGAGCTTTGGTCTAGAGGAAAAAGTGGACTTTTAAGATAGCTAACTTGAGTCCGAAGCCCAGCTCTGCCATGTCTTGATTATGTGGCCTTCTTGGGGGTGTCAGTTTTCCATGAAGTGGGGGTGAAGGGTCTACCCTAGAGATTGCCCAGCAAGTCTAGTGAGATCATGGTGCTTTCCAGAGTGCAGCAGCAGGTCTCAGGGGGCCCACTTCACTGTGTGTGTCTCACTGTGCTTCCCCTCTGTGTCCCAGTCTCTCAAGCAGCATGCAGTCCCTGTCCTCTGGCAGCAGCCCCGGATCCCTCACGTCCAGCCGGGGCTCCCTGGTTGCATCCAGCCTGGACTCCTCCACTTCAGCCAGCTTCACCGACCTCTACTATGACCCCTTTGAGCAACTGGACTCAGAGCTGCAGAGCAAGGTGGAGTTCCTGCTCCTGGAGGGGGCCACTGGCTTCCGGCCCTCGGGCTGCATCACCACCATCCACGAGGACGAGGTGGCCAAGACCCAGAAGGTGGAGGGAGGCGGCCGCCTGCAGGCTCTGCGTTCCCTGTCCGGCACCCCAAAGTCTATGACCTCCCTGTCCCCACGTTCTTCTCTCTCCTCCCCCTCCCCACCCTGTTCCCCTCTCATGGCCGACCCCCTCCTGGCTGGAGATACTTTCCTCAACTCCCTGGAGTTTGAAGACCCGGAACTGAGTGCCACTCTTTGTGAACTGAGCCTTGGTAACAGCACCCAGGAAAGATACCGGATGGAGGAACCAGGAATGGAGGGCAAGCAGCTGGGCCAAGGTAGAGAGTGCCATGCCCAGAGGGTGGGAACTGGGAGGAGGGAAAGAGACACTCTGTGCTCAGAACCCGTAGTGATCATTCTAGTCGATATTTACTGACTGCTTTCTGTGTGCCAGGTCTTTGTATGGTAAGCATATTTATTGGGTGGATATTTATTAGCTCAGTATTTTTGAGGTCCTATGCTAAGGATTTTCAGTGGTAGATTTTGTCCTCCAACAGACATTTAGCACCTTATGAAACTAAGTGTCAGGTCATCCTGTGCTACTGGATATACACGGATTCATCTATCCATTCATTCAGAAGATATGCTGTGTGCCAGGCACTGGGTTGATGACTAAGAATTTTGTGTTGAAGACAGACAGGGTCCTTGTTCTCATGAAGCTTATGTTCAAATGGAAGCACAGGCAATAAACCTGCAACCAAACAGAAGCACTACAAAGAAAATAAAACAGGGAATGTGACTGAGCCTTTGAGGTTGGAGGTGGGACCACTGGGGCAGATTGGGTTGTGAAGGAAGATGACATTTGAGTGTGGCTTCAATGGTGAGTTGGAGAAAAGAGCAAGAGCAAAATCTCCAAAGTCAGAGCAAGGGACTAGAAGGTAAGCCAGGAAGCCGTGAGTCACAGCTAGGGGGTTACCAACAAGGCTGGAGAATTAGGCAGAGCCCAGATCCTAAAAGGCCTGGTGGGCAGTGCTAAGGAGTTTGGATTTTGTCCTGACTGTACTGGGGACCCATGTGACTGTTTGAAGCCAGGAATGATATGTTCTGACTCCCATTCTGCATGAAGTCAGAAAGAACATTTTGGTCTTGGTCGAAATTTAAGTTGAAATCTTCAAAATAGAAGATGATGCTGATGTTGACTGCTAAGATTTATTAGGAGAAACCTTATCTTTAGTCACAACCACATAATAAATCATAATAGTTAATTTTATTGGGGATATATTGTGAGTTGGGCAATGTGCTTGATATATGGTGAAATCAGTTGTTTTTTTTTTGAGACGGAGTTTTGCTCTTGTTACCCAGGCTGGAGTGCAATGGCGCGATCTTGGCTCACCGCAACCTCTGCCTCCTGGGTTCAGGCAATTCTCCTGCCCCAGCCTCCTGAGTCGCTGGGATTGCAGACACACGCCACCATGACCAGCTGATTTTTTGTATTTTTAGTAGAGACGGGGTTTCGCCATGTTGACCAGGATGGTCTCGATCTCTTGACCTCGTGATCCACCCGCCTCGGCCTCCCACAGTGCTGGGATTACAGGCTTGAGCCACCGCGCCCGGCCGAAATCAGTTATTTCTATTCTGTCCATTTCACTGATGACGAATTAGAGATTCAGAGAGGCGATGTCACTTGCCTTAAGTCACCTAGCCATCAAGTGAGGAAACAGGGATAGGAACTGGGGTCTTTCAGGCCCCAGAACCCAACTCCTTTATTGTCATGCCTTAGGCTGGGAGGCAGTTCAGTGTGCACATTCAGGCCAACTCCTGGTGCTTGGGGTCCCACCAAGCCCATCTGACTCTGGGTGTGTGGGTCAGGACTGAGTAGGGTGCTCAGTAAACTCACCTGGACCTCCTTGGCTTTCCTGGCCATGGTAATCATAGCTATGATATATGGAGTACAGGTGTATAGGCTTCAGGTACTTCTGTGAATAGTTACTAATTTAACCCTCATAACACCTCTGGGAAGTGGGTGCTATTTTTGTCCCCATCTTTTTTTTTTTTTTTGAAACTTAGTCTCACTCTGTTGCCCAGGCCAGAGTGCAGTGGCGCAATCTCGGCTCACTGCAACCTCCACCTCTCGGGTTCAAGCAATTCTCCTGCCTCAATCTTCTGAGTAACTGGGATAACAGGCACGCACCACCATGCCGGGCTAATTTCTTGTATTTTTAGTAGAGACGGACTTTCACCATGTTGGCCAGGCTGGGCTCGAACTCCTGACCTCAGGTGATCCACCTGCCTCAGCCTCCCAAAGTGCTGTAATTACAGGTGTGAACCACCCATGCCTGGCCCTTTTTATCCCCATCTTAAAGATGAAAAAAGTGATGGAAAGTGAGGTTAAATGACTTCTCTGAGGTTAGTCCCACGGAGTGAAATGGCAAGACCAGGACTGACACAAGGACCGCCTGCTCAGAACGCACGCTATTATCCGTGCACCCAGTTCTGTCTACAAAGAGCTCATGCTCCTGGCTCCAGGTGAGATCAGCTAGAAGTAGCCAGACCCGTTTGAGCCCTATGGCTCTCAGGCGTGGGCAGGAGTGCCACTGCTGTGCCCAGAATTGTCCATTTGTGTGCAAGGGCCAGTAGGAGCGTGGCAGGGAAATGAGGTTTCCTTGTCAAATAAAGGCTTTGAGTGCCAGTGTTTCCCTTAGAACAGGAGCCGAGAGATCCCTGGGGTTCCCTTATCAGGAAGGGAGTCTTACTGAGTGCTCTCAAAATAAAAGCAAGCGTCCTACTATACCAGGTGGCAAGCTTCGGAAAATTGTTCCCTGGAGAGGAGGGGTTACAGGTGGAACCTCTAACAAGGCTCAAGGAGTGTTCCTCTGATGGCAATATTAAGCCAAATCAGGACACTCAGATGCCAGCTATGTCCTGTGAAGTGACCCCCTCCCCTCCCCTCCCCTCCCCTCCCCTCCCCAGTGGTGTCCTTGGAGCTTGTGAGCCTAAGACAGCACATGAGGCTGGACACACACAGGTCTCTGGATGGCATTTCCTTCGTGCCATCTCCAGAAGCCTTCCCTGGAGCGATCAATGCCAGGCAGAGCTCAGACGCTAAGCAGGTTATGCGATTAGTGCCGCTGTTCAGTCAGCAGACAAATTAATCTCCTTAAGTGGTTTAGTGGAGGGTGGAGATGCATGGGTCTGAAAGCAGGAGGTCTCCACAGGCTCAGCAGACATGGGTCGCAGGCTCGGCTTCCCCATCACCAGCACTTGCAGTCTCCCAGACCCGCCTTGTCACCCATCGCCATCCCCAGCCTGCCATGCCCTGGACTCTATGCCCCTCAATGCTGCAAGCCCTTGCCCTCCTCCAGTCTGTCTGCAGGTGCTCAGAGGTGTTATCTGTGAGGTTGTAGGATCTGGATCTGGCCTTCACCCCTCCGAGGAGGGCAGGAACTGTCTTATTCATCTTTGTAGTTCTGAACCTGGCAATGGTCCTGGCACATCGTGGGTGTTCATTACTTGGGCAAGGAAGGAATGTACAACACGTGTTGAGTGCGTGGTTATGAGCCTCAGATCAGAGATTTTCAAAGACCTCTGTTAAGGGTAGGGAAGAGGAGGAGCTGAATTAGGAGTGGAAAGGGATAGGCCGAGTGGAAGAACAGGTGCTTAACCTCTCCCTTCTCTGTCCTAAGGGTCCAGGAGCTGTTATTTTGCCCCAGGAGGGTAGGGATGGATCTATTAGGTTGGCGCAAAAGTAATTACAGTTTTTGCCATTGAAAGTACAGATATCTACCGTGATAGGAACAGTAGTGGCAATAGGATAGTTGTGATGAGTTTTGTAGAGCACTTTGCCTGCCTACACCAATCTCTGTATTAAGGACTTCCCCTATAATGCCTCTCCGAGTCCTCTCAACAGCCCTATAAGTAGATATTATTATCCAGGTTTTACAAATGAGGCATCTGGGGCTTAACAGGATTAAGTCAGTATCTCAAGGTCATGAAGCAGTAAGTGGTGGAACTGGATTTGAATCCAGGCATTTTGACTCCAGAGCCTGGGATAGTAAAACACAAAATCACATGTGACTCCTTCCATCACCCTAAAGCAGACTTTTTATATTTTTTTGCTTTCGCATTTAGAGGTGGTTGGAATTTGCTGGAACCATCTTTTATCCATAGAGAGCGGATCAACATTGGGAGTTAAGCCCAGGCACAGTGGTTCACACCTGTAATTCCAAAACTTTGGAAGGCCAAAGCAGGCCGATCGCTTAGACCAGGAGTTCAAGACTAGCCTGGGCAATATGGCAAAACCCCATCTCTACCAAAAAATAATAATAATTTAAAAATTAGCTGGGTGTGGTGGCACATGCCTATAGTCCCAGCTCCTTGGGCAGCGGAGGTGGGAAGATCATCAGAGCCCAGAGTGGTCGAAGCTGCAGCGAGCCATGATTGTGCCACTGCACTCCAGCCTGGATGAGTGAGACCCTGCCTCAAAAACAAAACAAAACAAAATTGGGAGTTGCAAAGACAGTTTTCTGATTCCTGAACCTGCCTTTCCATCTTCCTTCTCTAGCTGTGAATGCGGCCCAGGGCTGTGGGCTAAAAGTGGCCTGTGTCTCAGCTGCAGTGTCAGACGAGTCAGTGGCTGGAGACAGTGGTGTGTACGAGGCTTCCGTGCAGAGGTGGGTGCCTGGGTGCTGGCTCACTCTGTGGCCCTGTGAGCCATGAACTCTGAATATGCAGAGCCTAGGCTTGTGGGGTGGCTTAGGTTTGGGTCCCCCTAGTGTGTGGGAGGATCCCCAAGAGGGCATGACCCCACCTTCCTCTTGGCAGCCCAAGGCACAGCAGCATAACCTTTCCTGGGACCTTGGAGGTGCTTGAGGTTTGGGGTAGTGCTAGTTCTGTGGTAGCTGTGAAAAGGTGTATGGCCAAGGAGCAAGCGCTGGAGAAAGGGAAGCCCCCTTCAGAGAGGGGTCCAATCTGGGCATAGTGTGAGCCTGTAATCCCAGCTACTTGGGAGGCTTCAGTGGGACGATCACTTGACACCAGGAGTTCGAGACCAGCCTGGGCAACATAGTGAAACCCCCCCAATCTCTAAAAAAATTTTTTCTTTAATTAAAATTTTTAAAAAAAGGACCTGGAGGGAGGCTGAGCAAACCCTTACTTTCCTTCTTGGTGATCCAACCGCAGCCTCCCAGAACAGTTTGTTCACTGCAGGGAAGCCTAACTCCCCCTCCCCTGTTGCCTTTTCAGACTGGGTGCTTCAGAAGCTGCTGCATTTGACAGTGATGAATCAGAAGCGGTGGGTGCGACCCGAGTCCAGATTGCCCTGAAGTAAGTGACATGGATGATGAGGACAGAGGTAATGGTCTGTGTGGGGTCACTTCTTCATCCGCATTTACCTTCACAGCCACCCAGGGTGGAAGGCAGCGCCGGCAGCTGACCGTTGCAGCTTCCTAACTAAAAAGATGCCAATTCGCTTCTCAACTCCCAGCTGTCCACTTTACAGATAGGAGAAACGAGGTTTTAAAAGACCTTGTAACTTGCCCCAACTCACTGAGCTGACTGGTGGCAGAGCCAGGAACAGGGCTGAGACCTCCTGCCTCAGCGTGTTTGTTCTTTGTTATGGTGGCTTTTGTCTTTCCATCCCATCCAGGTTTCAATGATCTGGATGGAAGTTGACCACTAGGGGCCGCAGCCCTGATTGGGTCAACACACACATGGTTGTTCCTTTTGTTTTCTCTTGTTGGGGGATGATCTCAGTATTTTTTTATTTTTTCTAGACATGGTCTTACTCTGTCACCCAGGCTGGAGTGCAGTAGCATGATCTCAGCTCACTGCAACCTCTGCCTCCCTGGTTCAAGCGATTCTCCTGCCTCAGCCCCCCAAGTAGCTGGGATTACAGGTGTGCGCCACCACGCCCGGCTAATTTTGTCTTTTTAGTAGAGACAGGGCTTCACGATGTTGGCCAGGCTGGTCTCAAACTGACCTCAAATGATCCCCCTGCCTCAGTGTCCCAAAGTGCAGGGATTACAGGCATGAGCCACCATGCCCGGCCTTCAGTATTTTTTAATAGGAATTAATTGCCAACGTTTCCATATCACGAAATTTCACCCACATTTATGGGTTCTTTTTAAAAATTTAGACAACTGGCTGGGTGCAGTGGCTTATGCCTATAATCCCGACACTTTGGGAGGCTGAGGCAGATGGATCACTTGACTCCAGGAGTTCAAGACCATCCTGGGCAACATGATGAAACCCATCTCTACTAAAAATACAAAAAATTAGCTGGGCGTGGTGGCGCACACCTATAGTCCCAGTTACTTCGGAGGCTGAGGTGAGAGGATCACCTGAGCCCATGAGGTCGAGGCTACCATGAGCCCTGATCAAGCCACTGTACTCCAGCCTGGATGACAGAGTGAGACCCTGTCTCAAAAAAAAAAAAAATTTTTTTTTCAAAGAACTGACAGTTCTAGCTCTATATCCCTGCATGGCAGCAAAGCACTGGGCCTGTGCTCTTGAGCTCACCACAGTCCCCAAGGCAGCCAACAGCCACATCCTGTGACTTTTAACAGAGAGAAGGAGCAAGAATGATGAGTGTATTACTAATAGGTATGCCCCTTTTCATTTCAGGTATGATGAGAAGAATAAGCAATTTGCAATATTAATCATCCAGCTGAGTAACCTTTCTGCTCTGTTGCAGCAACAGGACCAGAAAGTGTGAGTATGTAGCTGGACATGTGTATCTCATACTTTCACGCTCTGGAGTCACCCCTGGGGGTCATTTTTCTGCCCTGTCCTGATCCACTTATGGGCTTGTCAAGGCACTGTGGGTTTGTAATGCATATGACCGTGATGCTAAATGTCACGTGATGTAAATGCATGTGAATACAGGCACAATGGCAAGCACACCAGCAGTAAAGACACACACTCTAGTTGACTGTGAATTCCTGTCCCATTACATGCTGAGCACCTGCTGCATGCCAGCTGTAGGTATGGGGTGGTGAGCAGATCCTTCCTGGGCCCTACCCTCCCAGACTTTGAGCCTCGTGGAGAAGAATGGTCACAGTCTATTTTCTCCTAAGCTCAAGTGTTTCTTGCAGAGAGAGATGGGTCTTCAGTTTCCAAGAGTCAAGACCAATCACTGTGCTTCTCTTGGAGGGATGTGACTGCATGTTACCTTGATGCTGATAGGCGGCAAACACGTGCTCTGTCCGAATGTGGGCACTTCCCATTGTAGATGGGTTTATCCTTTATTGCACTCATCTACCTATGAGTTTTCTTCTTAACTAGACCGTAAGGCCTGGAGGGTGACAACAGGAGCTGATGTGTCTGTGGTCTACACCCAGCCAGCCTGTGAAGGTGGCACATGTGGGAAGAAGGAAGGGCAGGAAGGTGGACGAAACAGAAGGAAGACAAGATGGGACACTTGGGTCATTTTCAGTCTTTTGCCCACACAGACGGTGCCAGGCTGAACAGCCTTCTCTATATCTCACTGGTACTCATGCAGGGGTATCTGTGGGATAATGCCTAGAAGTGAGGGGTCTGGACCCAAAGATAAATGCATCTGGAATTTTGTTCCATTCGTCTAAGTCCCTTCCAGTGTATAGGGGCCTGATTTCCCAGATTCCTCAGTTCTGCAAACTCTCATCCTCTGTGGTTTGCTTAGGGATTTCAGCAGCTGTTTAGCCCCAGACCTGGGCTGACCCAAGATTTCCTGTGGTTCTGTCTCCCTCTAGGAATATCCGCGTCGCTGTCCTTCCTTGCTCTGAAAGCACCACCTGCCTGTTCCGGACCCGGCCCCTGGATGCCTCAGATACTCTAGTGTTCAATGAGGTGTTCTGGGTATCCATGTCCTATCCAGCCCTTCACCAGAAGACCTTAAGAGTCGATGTCTGTACCACCGACAAGAGCCATCTGGAGGAGTGCCTGGTAAGGGCCGTGTCTGTCTGCCTGTCTGGCCTTCCATGTTTATGGGGATTGGTCCACCCTGAGCTTCAGGAAGACGGCTCGAGGGAGACACAGGTTGTGCTATCGTCAGGCTTATCTTGGATTCTAGGCAGAGATGCTTCCACAGGTGAATGTTGTTCTCAGACCTGGGGTGGGAGAGAAGAAGCTCTTTTCACAAGAGGAAGAGTAATGGACCTGAAAGTGCCTTTTAAAACTGCCAGAACCTGGAAAATGCTAGCCACAGCCATAGCCTCTGCTTCTTACCTAATGTCTCATGCGTGTAGCAAAGCTGTTGTTTACTGTAGTGAAGCTGAGGTGCTATAGCAGGGCCTCAAACCACAGCTTTACCATAGGCATGAGAGACGAGGTAAGAAGCACAGACTACAGCTGCATGGTGGCTTACACCTAGAATCCCAACCCTTTGGGAGGCCAAGGCTGAAGGATCACTCAAGTGCAGGAGTTCGAGAGCAGCCTGGGAAACAGAGCAAGACCCCATCTCTACAAATACAAAATTAGCCGGGCATGGTGGTACATGCCTGTAGTCCTAGCTACTCTGGAGGCTGAGATGGGAGGATCTCTTGAGCCTAGGAGTTCAAGGCTGCAGTGAGCTGATTGTGCCACAACATTCTGGCCTGGGCAACAGCAGAACCCTGTGTCAAAAAAAAAAAGAAAAATAGCACAGAATAATGACAACAAACACATAGGCATTTACATCCCACCTATACCCCTTGCTCTATAGCTGGATGACCTTGGACAGGTTACTTAACATCTCTGATTCTCATTTTTCTTGTCCATAAAATGCAAATAATAATGACTCTGTCATGCCCACTAGAAGAATCTTTGTAAGGATTGAGATAGCACCTGTCAAGCACCTTCAAGCATCTGACACACAGTGAGTTCTCGTTGATTGAGGCCATTGCTAGACTCCCTGAAACGGACCTCCTCCGGCTTCCATCTCCTCACTGCACTGGCAGGAGTCAGGACTAAAGATGAAGTAGCCCCGGGTACAGTTTCCTAAGAAACTGTCCCCTTAGAGACAGGCAGACCCAAGTGCAGACAGATATTCAGCTTTCCCGTCTGTAGAAGGGGGACTTACAGAACAGCTAACTCAGGGGCTTGTGATGTACAAGTGAGTTAAAAGAAGTAAAGGCCTTTGTTAACCCTGATGCCATTTAGTGTTAGAGTATTTTAATGATAACTCAACTGTGGGCACAAAGGAGGGAGCCCAAGCATGGGCATTATACCTAGAAGGTTGCTCTACTCATGCTCAGATCTGTACTGGGAGCTTGTGTCCCACCCCTGTGTGTGGGGCTGGGGATTCAGACGGGGAACCAAATAGACAAGGCGCCAGCATTGATGGCTAACTTGTGAACAAACTGTGAGGAGGGCCGTTTTGGAAATGGATGGGTTGAAGTGATGGAGGAAAATGTGGGATGTGTGCAAAGGAGAGAAACAAGATGCATACATCTCTCCGAGCCTCTCCAGCCTCTGTGTCCGGAAGCTGGAGTGTGGATCCTCTCACTGCCTCCTCAGAGGGCTCACCACCTTTCTCCTGCTGTAAATCACAGGCCTTTGCCCAGAGTAGGGAATCTCTGCTCTCCATCCTTGCCTTCATCGGCTTGTGCTGTAAAAGCCTTCTCTGTCATGGCATTGTGGGGCCATATCCTTGGCTTGCGGCCTGGGGCTGACACCAGGCTTGCCCTTCCAGCCAGACCTCCTCAGAATCTTCAATTCTCGGTCAGTTCCCTTATCGGTAAAATCCGGCTCATACTGACTTCCTGGAGGTGGTTCTCTGAAAACTAAATGAGGTGCTATAGCAGCACTTCAAACTGTGCCATGCACAGGAATTTCCTGGAGCTCTGGCTAAAATGCAGATTCTGATTCAGCAAGTCTGGAGCGGAACCTAAGATTCTGCATTTCTAACAAGCTCCCAGGTGAGGCCAATGCTGCTGGTTCCTAGATCACACTTTGTGTAGCAAGAATGCAGAGCTGCAAAGTGTCTGTACTTCGTGCTCACTGGATATCAGTTCCCATCTCTTTCCTCCTTAGCTGGGTACAAAGCAGCATCACTACCATTTATGTTGTTGTTACAGACAGTAATGCAGTACCTGTAGTTAATATCAGTAGGATTCAGCTTACATGGCAGGCACTGAGCTAAGCTCTTTATATGCATTATCTCTGTTTTTTTTTTTTTTTTTAGACTGAGTCTCACTCTCTCAGTCTCTGGAATGCAGTGGTGCTGTCTCAGCTCAGTGCAACCTTCACCTCCCTGGCTCAAGCAGTTCCCCTGCCTCAGACTCCCGAGTAGCTGAGACTACAGGCACGCACCACCACACCTGGCTTATTTTTGTTTTTTAATAGAGGCAGAGTTTCACCATGTTGGTCAGGCTGATCTTGAACCCCTGACCTCAGGTGATCCACCCGCCTCGGCCTCCCAAAGTGCTGGGATTACAGGTGCGAGCCACCACACTCAGCCCATTATCTCTACTGATCCTCACTCCAACCTTGCAAAATAGGTAGCATATTCCAGTGGAGAAACTGAGGCACAAACAGGTAAAAGACCTTTCCTAGACCACACAGTTAGAAAGTGGCAGAAGCCGTATTTGAACTCCAGCGGGTCTCCCTCTGAAGTTCACACACGTCAGCGCCTCTGTGTTGTCTCTTTGCCAGCACATGGCTCTCTGGAGCCCAGAGGTGGGGGTGGTGACTCGAAGGGGTTGGCAAGCCTGGGCTCCTCCAGTGAAGCGTTCCCCTGGCCCTGGGCATTCCTAAGCCAGAAGAGGCTCAATCCTATTTTCTTCTCCTAATTGGATGCCTTTTATTCCTCCTTCCTAATTGAAGGCTGGTCATTGCTGGTTGCCATGGCAGCAGCCAAAGCGCTCATCTCACCGTGGCTGGTCTTTGCCTGTGGCCAATGGGATACCTCCTTTCCCGTATACAGTGGGGACATGGAGTGTCAGGCTGTCGTATTTTGGTGGCTGGAGGAGGAGAAGTGAGATGGGAGGAAAAAGGGCCTGTCCGCTCCCACGCAGAGACTCCAGGCAGCAGGGTGTGTGGAATCCCCAGTCTGTTTTCAGCTAGGCAGCAACAGTATCTGTACTGAGCCGACTCTATCTGTCTGTCAGGGGGCTAAGAACTTTGTGTGCAATATCTCACTTAATCCTTGCGATTGCCCCAGAAAAATAAGGGATCAAGGCCCAAGTCACCTGCCAGCTCATCCAACAAGAAGATGGCAAAGCCTGGATTTGAACAGAGACTCCAGCTTCCTCATGTGTAGCCATCACACCATGCTACTTCTCAGGGGGTTACTGTGAGTGTCCCTCATGTCCCCAGACCCAGATTATAGGTTTTGAGGAATACACAGCCCGCCTTCCCAATATCACAGGCATCAGTTCCACCAAATGCCCTAGCATGGCATTGCAGGGGGCCTAGTTGTCCCCTGCTCTACTGCTGAGCTCCACGCCACCCCAGCCCAGGCTCTTTCAAGGAAGCCCACTTCTCACGCCCCACTTACATCCCATGGTTCACCAGTAAAACCGTTCCCTTGCCCCCTCTCACTTTGCCATGCTAACTTGGTAAAACCCCAGCCCTGTCAAAGTGAACTCTCCACCCCCTCCTCTCCAAATGAGCAACTGGAAAAAAAAATGCACACAACCACGCTGTATGGCGTCATTTGGAAATGGTGATCACTCACTTCCCATGAGCCCTGAATGCTGCCCAGAAATTATACTGTATCTCCCTGGACCATTGACTCGCCCACTCATCACAATGACTAATTTATACTTCTCTCAGGGAGAGAAGAGAGGAGGACTCAGAAGAGCGCTCCCACACCATATCTAGATGTTCTTGTAGGTTCTGCCATTTCCCTAGCTTCTGAGGATGGTCCTTCTTCATTGCCATCTGAGGCCACCACCCCCATTTTCTCACAAAGAACATCCCTCCAACAGCCATTCTGCTTTTTTCTCCATCTTTAACTTTCTTTCCTCCACTGGATACCTCCTATCAGTATATCATCATGCTGTTATTTCTCCCATGCTCAAAGCAAAACAAAACAAAAGATTTTTTTGAGACAGGATCTTGCTTTGTTGCCCAGGCTGGAGTGCAGTGATGTGAACTGGGCTCACAGCAGACTTGACCTTCTGCACTTAAGTGATCCTCCCTCTTCAGCCTCCCCGGTAGCTGGGACTATAGGCACAAGCCACCATGCCTGGCCAATTTTTTTCACTTTTAGTAGAAATGGGGTTTCACCATGTTAACCAGGCTGGTCTCAAACTTCTGACCTCAAGAGATCCACCCACCTCGGCCTCCCAAAGTGCTGGGATTACAGGCATGAGCCATTATGCCCAGCCTGGCCCTCAGCTTTGTACCAGGGGTGTGCTCCTCATGTTCATCAGTGAGCTCCTTGTTCCTAGACCAGAGGCCAGGTCTCCATCTTCCTACTCGACCTGCCAGCTGCACCTGCCGCAGTTGCTGACTTCACCTCCCTCAACATCCTTTGCCCTTGCTTGGCCTCCCGGTTACCTCACTCTTCCAGTGTTCTCCCCTCACCTCTAGCATCCTGGTTTCCTTTGCTGATTCATCCTCATTTCCCTGACCTACCTATGTCAGAGGGCCCGGGATTGGGTCCTTGATCTTTACCTTTTCCACTCGTTTCCTTGGTGGTCTCCTTTTATCTCCCAGCTGCAAACCCATCCCAAGTGCAGGGCTCCAGCTGGGGCCTCCCCACCCCTCGAATCTCATATCTCCACTGCCTATTCTATATCTTCACTTAACACGTAAAATAGAACCTCAAACTAACATGGCCACAAGAGCGCCCCTGACCTTTCCTCCTGTATCTCCGCTGTCTCAGGCGATGGCAACCTCATTCCTCCATTGCTCAGGCCAGACACCCTGCAGTCATCCTTGACCCCCTCTTTCCTTCACCCCATCATCTTCGTGCCACCTTTTAAAAGAACCCAGCGCCGGGCGCGGTGGCTCACGCC